AATTAAGAAAACGGATAGAATTCCATCTACTAAAGTCTAAAGTTAACACAAATCAAATCCAAGTAACTGGCCTGCTTTACTTGCCAATTTATGACTCCCTAATCTTCCTGGTTAGCTTATCATTAAAGATATTTTCATTTATTTATTTTTCGATCGTTGTTGATCTTAATTGGGAATTGAAGGAACTCCGACCGGTTGTAAGGGGATAAGAAAGTTCAAATCTCTCTTTGCGTATCAAGGTATCGCAGGTATAGCAGTTATCTGACAGATAAAGATTGGAATACGGTAAAGTCTATACTCTAGCCAAGAGCCCATTCAGCTGGAGCCCCCCGGTTCCTACAGCATGAAGCGAATAGGAATATTACCACTCCCCCGTGGATGGGATGTCAATCCATCGCAAGGCTACCCTCCACCACTTCATCAGACTTCCCTTAAAACTCGCCGGTACTCATTTATACTCCTGACTGGAGAGGGGCAACGTGAGAGTAAATGTAACAATAGCACAAATGACTGAGGAGTGGAGGGAAGTATGATAAGGTACAAAATCGAGGCCAGGCAACGTACCTTAGAACCAACACGTGATCGCAGCCTTGATGATGTACGTTTCGTGGCCAAAGACATCTCAGATGTTACATTTCCTGTTGAATTGTGGGAAACGCTGCTTGAGTTGTTGGATGACGTATGACGCCGGCTTCTTCGTCTCCCTTTTACCTATTGACAACAAATGACACATAAAACCATGATAGCTTAGTAAAGAAGAAATTGAATATTTTTTCGCAAAGCTGGAACAAGTTAACACTGAGTTCAGTTTCGATTTCTTGGTCGATTCTTCTAGCAACAGAGTTAAAAAAGAATCGTTAGCGACATACTGTACGTAAGATATTACATAATTGATAGGAATTTGAAACAACACATTCGCTTAACTCTCTAAGGGGGCATAGGGCTAAGACACACTGTTGCAAAATGATGGCACAGAAAGGCTTAAAACAGCACCAGGTCTACGAAATATGTGTCAGAAATATTTTAACTAATTATCGCGGTTTATGTCAGAGTAAATAAATGGTGGGCGCGAAAACAGAGAAAGAAATTTGAAGGTATGCGTGAAAATAAGGGGCCCTGTTAGATAGCGCGCCCTTCGATCAGTTAATCAATGTTTCCTCGCGCAAGCACACTACCAAAGACAAACGTTAGCGTTTTTAAAAGAAGCTACTCTTTCATGTTTTAGCGAAGCAAATTATCATGTAACACAGACGATCAATTTTTCTTTTACTTGAGGTGCCAAAATAATTAACCTTCAGTAAATGCACGGAGTCAAAAGCACCAGGAATAGCTGCGAAAATTCCACTGCGCGTGCATAATCCTCGTCATAACAGATCCCTTTATCACGTTAACACCGTCACCACGACAACTCAAAACAGTTCGTTCAAACAAGTAACCTTGTTGGAAGCTTCGCGCTGTGGACTTTTCGAAAGTACGGAGTTTTAGCGATTTCAGAGCTATTTGCCGTATAACATGTGCGGATCTCTTTTATCTAAGTTTTCTAAATCCGGTAACAAAGTAGCCCCAAAGAACGACGCAGATTTTGAAGAGCTCAAACCAGTCGGGAGTAAAACGAAATCGGCGGATAAGACGACGCCCAGTCCAGTGAACAACCCAGATGTTGCATGGAAAGAAAACTTTCAAGAGGAACCTGAGATGGGAAGCTCCAAGGTTAGAGAAACAGGTAGCAATTCAGAAGATTTGTCTGACAAACATGAAGATCCGGAGAGAAGAGCACTAGACAGTGCAATAGCTATTTTGTCAGCCCAAAGATCGACAGTCCCAAATGACCCAGCGACGCGGGTGATGCAGAGTGGAAGAGAAATCCTGGAAGCTCAACTAGATAGCACGCCTTCAAGTTCAAATACGATCGCCTATCAGCCTGCAAGTTCTACACGATCTTTGCTCATGGGTGAAACCTCCAACGCCATTGCATTTGAAGTAGTTGTCGGGTACAGGCCAACTGTCCGCCCAACTGCTCGGGTGCCACGGAGGCTGAACAAGTTGGAACGACAGCCAAAGATATCGAAGAAGCAGATTAACGCCAAACATCTGGCAGCAGAAGAGCGAAAACTAAGGGAGCTTGAGAACATCCGTGCCCGGGCCAGTAGTACGGCAGGAGGTATCAGACCGCACCCAGCAGAGGCGGCCTCCAAAGCTACTGCTAAGAAAATTGCCGCAAAGCAGGCTGCCGCTGATAGAAACAGAAATGAGATGATAGCGATAAAGAAGCAATCCGGGATTAAAGTCTCACGGAAGAAAAACAAGATCGCTACTGCTCAAGTTGCCGCCAGAGAAGACCTGCAATCTGCTATTAGACGGAAAATGGATAAATCTAAGGGCAGAAAGGCGGAGCAAAACTATCAGCGATACACGCAGAAGAACCTGAGAGAGGAGCGTGCGAGGAAAGTCAGAGAGAACGTGAGTATCGCTTTTTCATGATTCTTTATAAGACGCGCGTAGACAAGAATTGCCACTTTCTATCACCTTAGCAACCCACTTACTTTCGTTTACCTTAATTATACAATAATCTGAAGTTTAATGCGACGCCTGTTGTCATTTCAACCTTTGTCAGATTGAACGTATGCTGCGAGAAGAGGAGAAAGAAGTCCTTGCAGATCTTCGAGAATTAGAGGCAGACCAGGCGTATTGTGCCTCTGACAGTAACGAGTCGTGGGGTAACGACGAGAGTGAAGTTGTTTACGAGTGGAAAGACTTCTTCAATGATTAATTACACTGAATGTCTCACATGCACACTGAAAAATTGCGCAAAATAACAACCATCTTCATTATACAAAAAAAGAAAGGAGCAAGTGAGCCGCATAAAAACGCTATGAAAACTCGAGTCAGTCTTGTCCACTGCGTTATCTCCTTCTTTTAAGCTTCTCTTTATTTTCAAAGAACTGGCGATCACACTATCACCGTGACAGTACTATGCCGTTGGGAAAGTTCGCCGAATACAGAACCCTGGAAACGAACGAATTTTCTCAATTGATGACAAGCAGAACTATGAAGCAATCACGACGAATGATGGCTGATAAAATCTCTCAAGCTGCTTGTTATCAACAAGAAACTGAACCGTTTTAATCTCGTACGTAGGAACTTTAAACCTTTATCTCCTTTGCTAAGAATTGAAACAAAAAGAAGTGCAACAACCGCAAATGTTAGGTACTAAAGGTCTTGAGTTTACTAAGAAAGAAGTACATCGAACGTGAGGTTTCAATTTTTTTAACTTAAAGCTAAATAAACTGGTGATTTTGTACGCAAGGTGTTTCTCACTGAGTGTTCCCGGATTTCATGAAACACTTTTTCGCCATAGAACCTTTGAACAAGAAACAGCTTTTGACGCTCTGACCTATGTTTCGAAAAGTCATCTTCAACTTCGCCGTTCAATTAATACAAACGTTTGTTATTGTGGACAATGTTAAGAAAGCTTGTAGCTTGAACTGGAAAAACATTTATTTGCTGCCACTGCACGACGAGATTTCACCAACCGCGCAAAAGTAAACACGATTATTTTTAAAGAACAAACCCAGAAGCGTAATCAGGATTTGAGCAGAGAAAGCAAAGCACCTTTCGGCTGTTTTTTAGAAACGAACAGAAACGAACAGCCACCAGAAAGAGAACAAAATTACCTTAGGTACCTTCGAGCTCAAAAATCGAAGAAATAACAAAAGATAACAATCTGCTCCCTTATTTTAATCACAACAGGAAAAAGGAATGTTTTAACCGGTAGAACAACCTTTTACCTGTTGAATTTCAAGAATTCCAAGCGATTTTAGTTTCTTATAGGAGGTACTTCAAGGGGGTAAATTCGTCAAAATCCTCAATCGTGAAAAAACACAAGCAACAGATCCGTTATGTTTGGTTTTGCATCTGATATGTCGAGAGTCTCCTGGACTAATCACAGGGCTAAGTTAACCAAACTTATCCAATCCTGGATTATTTAAAAATTGCACTAATCTACACATTCCTGACCTTGGTAGCATCCATGATCGCCTCCAGCTGACGTTTAAAATCTTCTCTGGCCTCTAGAGACTCAAGTGTAGCCGGTCCCATTTGAGGATCTTGTTGAACCTCTTCTGCAATATCGCCTTCCACAGCCTGTTCCTCCCTTGCTAACTCCTCAGGCACACTTCCCGTCTTGCTCAGTTTTTCAGTTTCACTCGACTGACTCATCTTTGTTGCGAGTGACTTTCGTTTCTTTAGTGGTGACATCTCTTGTTCCGTTGCTGCCTGTAGTTAGAGAATGAAAAAAGTTTCAAGCGTCCTCTCAAGGCTTTCAGAAGCATACGATGCAGTCACTTAGCCGACATGTCCTATGTTGAGTCAACTCACCGACAAACAACTTTCTGACACCGTAAGTCACCTCGCCAAGTATTTCAATCGACTCGCCAAAAGCAATCTGTCGCCGACTTTACAGCGTCTGATGACTTAACAATGTTAAATGACTTTACCATGTCAGATGAATTTGTTAAGTCATATCAAGAAGTGATGAAAGCTGCCTTAGTCCTTGTTAATTTTTAAACTTGGGAGTGATTCCACGCTGCTAGATAAAACTCACAATCCAAGTCATTTGCAAAGTGACAGCTTTTTATAATCGTATTAGATGGCTACGACGGTATTTTAAATCAAGAGAGTGTAATCATCACAGATGGCAAACCAAGTAAAAAAGCTTGGAAAAATTAAGATATCCACGAGATGACCGAGGACGTTTAAAAAAGAGAATGTCAGTGAGTTAACTAATGCTGTCGGCGAGTTGACATGCGAGCAAAGTGATCGATATCCGTTTCATACTGTACGGGAAACCTACGACAGAGCTTTCAAGGAGTCAACATGAGTAACGGCTAGTTCATTATACAAAATTTTTCCCTCAATTTTTCAAGTTAGTCATTACAGTCGGTTTTAATGTTTCCTATCCGTGGCTATCTTTGTTACTTTTCCCTGTATTACTGCCTCTAATAATTAACAATTCGGTTACCATTAAATTTTGCGCGAGAAATGGGCGTGCGGCGGGTACGACTCTTTCCCAATGTCTCAACTCTTCCTTTGTGTCCATTACAACGTCGGACATGCGTAAATGGATCAATTTTGGCCGGCCGCGCGCCAATTTCCCGCGCAAAATTTAGAAAGAAAACATAAGAAGTAAACAGTGTGACGAAAATTTTGCGAAGTAATTGAAACGTTCTCAGAAATCTGTATAACGTATTCAAGTAAGGGGTTTTTATCATTTGGCATTTTGTTTCGAGTTTCATTAAAAAACTTCGTCGAAAACTTCGTGAATTACTGACTCGAGTGGTTGTTAATAACCCTTATGAGGAAGCTTGATTTTGTCAGCCACCTAGCCGATGGACATACGCAAACGTTGACCGGTGCGTTGGCGATCCCAAGGTAAGCTTTCAGAGAAATTTCCAATTGATTGTCGAAAGTAATACGGGATTGCATTGATTTTGCTTTACTTCATTCCGTGATTGGTCCTTAAAACTCGTGCAAATCTCTCAACCAATCAATGCAAAACTAAAATCAATCATAACGTGGTCGTCCGCGTTTTCCCGCGCTTTATGGAGTTTGGTTGTTTTTAATTCCAGTTCTCCTTCAGATTGGCCGTTATGATTACTTTGGCTAATATTTTAAGACACTCAATCAAAAAGCGCTCTAAAACTAAATCGAAAATTGCTGCGGGAGCTTAAACTAAACATGGCTTGTACACGACAATACTTACAGCTCGAGATGACCTTGTCATTCGTCTTCCCGTTGTCACCACAGGCAGACTTAACTTTGGATTAAAGGTGTGTGGATACATGGTCTCATCAACTCGCTCGTTTTTTTCTTGACAACTGTACAGCCAATGAGGAGACACTATGTGAATGCCACGATCCTTTGCCTGTGTATATTCCTTAGTTTTGTCATTGGATGGACCCTGGTGAGAAATATGATTATTTTTTTTTCGTTCAACACAAATGATACCTCTACCTAAATTTGTCAACCAAACACAAAAATTCATCATCTTTTCAAGACACTTTATCACTACACTAGATGCTGGCATTTTGCTCTGACGTAGGGCTAACGCTTGAAAAATCAGCTTTAGAAACTCTCTACAGCGGCCAAATTACATTTTCAACTCAGTGCCACCACAGTTCCTTTAGAAACTTACCGCCTTTATTCACCTGCTTTAGGAATAGCTAATCTCAGAAGTATGCGAGCCACTTGTCCTACTTTTACCTCGAGACACAACTAAAATAGTTGCTCTCTAACCTGGTGAATAAGGTGAGTGCATGATCCATCATAAAGCCTGCGATAATCAGCTCCAAGAGATGATGCCAAGGCGAAGAGTTCTGTTTGTTGCTGAGCCAACTTTTTACTCACAGATAAAATGACACCAACGAGAATACCTTGTTGTTGAGGTTCTCCATTTTCCTGCCCAATAAAAGCACAAATTAATGCCAAATCCACTTAGTAAGCCAATTTTAGTTAATGGTTAAAATACAGAATTATTCAGCTCTTGACTGTTTATTAATCAACTGCAGTTATTTCTCAAATAATGGTTATATTCTACTATTACGTGATGATGATGATGGTAATAATAATAAAAAATAATGATAATGATGGTGATAAGATAAAAAGAATATTATTGTAATAATGCATTAACAAGAAATACCATGATGGTAAAAAGTGACTTGTGGTGGTATTGCTAAGTGAAGATTTTGTATGAAGCCCATTGTAAACTCTTAAGGATGATATGACCCAAATAAGACAAGTACTTTGCATTCACAGCTTTTAATATTTCAAAAACAAACCTCTCCTTCCTGTTGGACATTGTCAAAAGTTTCATCATTGTCATTCCCGTCATCACTTTCCCTTGTGCTTGGAGCAACAGGGCCCAGTTTTTGAAGAGTCTGTTTGATGTTCTCTGCAAATAAATCATCCAGTGGAAAGCTGTTTCTACTACCCCGACTCTTTCTACCTCTTAGGCTAGGACAAGCTGGTGAAGCCAGCTCTTCCATCACATCAGCCAAGTCAAATGAAGGTCTGAAAGGACGGAAGTACATAGATGGCCTCTTCACAGGCTGCTTTTCAGTACTTCCACCAGAGCCACTGTAAGCCTTTTGTGCATGAGGGACAGATGTGTCATCAGTTGTTTCCATTGGAAGTTCAACTTCGTCCGGTTTTAAATTCGAGAGTTGAGTTGTGTCTGCTCTCAGTTTCTCTGGTGGGCAAGGATCAATGACATCCATTGCCAATTTTTTATCAATGCTGACAGGATACTTGTCGAAGGGAACCAAGGTGCCATCTGAGGCACAGGCAAATAGCCAATCTCTACTTACTACAGGGATATTCCATTTTATAGCTGCTTTGTATTTGTTTCCATCAGGATATTGGCACATGAGATGTGTGCTAGCCTTGTAGTTCCCACTCTCTTTACGAACAAAGTATTCCTGACAATGAGCACCTAATCAGCAAAATAAAAACATTTTTCACTGAAGAAAATGTTTTAAATAACTGAGTTATATGCTTTTCAATCAAGAGGAGCAGTCATGTACAGAAGCTAAATAGTTAAAATCCTACTCTGTGATGGCCTTCAGCCTTTCCCTTGGTGGAGACAACAGAAAAAGAGGCAGATCAACAAAATCCAACATAGGGGATTATTAATTGATCCAATACCAAATTTCCCCAAACTAAAGTCACAATCATTGTATTCAAAACAATATGGAGAATTTCTTGAGTTGAGGGCTTAAGACTAACAGAAGACTAGCAAGAACCATGAAAAAACTCAGTACATGACAGATCCTTAATAGAGAGAGCAGTCTCTAAAACCATTGCTGACAACTGAACACTCTTGTCCTGGGCCTAGTTTTTTAAAGGGTGGATGACACTATCCATGGGATAAATTAATATCCAGTGGAAAAGTGTCAACAAAACATAGTGCCCTATCAAATGGAGAGAGCTTTATCCAGCAGATAGTATTATCTACCCTTTGAACAATACTACAATAAAAGAAAAATTAAATCATTTTTGGCAAGATTTACCCAGAAGTTCTGCTAGTTGATACAAGTGGTCTCTTTCTACTCCTGTAAACTGACTGATTGACAAAACACATCTACTGAGTGGTTTTCCAGCATCTGGGATGCTGAATGGCTTAAAGAGAAAGCCACCCTCCAGGGCCAAAAGATGGCCACATTCCAAGCTCTTCTCTAACCAGCAAAATGTAACCTGTAAGATATTTGAACTTTGTTATAACTGCAAGCTTCCTGTGATAATTTTTTTTACCTGAATGTGAATCCCTTAACTTTAACAATGATCCCTTGTTAAAAACCGTTAGAGGATAAGACTAAAGAAATAAAATAGCAACACTTTCTGTTTTTACAAGGGATCAGAAAGGATATTTAAACATTTACGTCCATCCAACAAGAATTCTCAAGCTGAATTTTGATTCCTGAATGGTTATAAATACCATTTTCCTTCAATTATCATTTCCAAAAGAAAACCCAGATTAAAAAATGTAGTCTCAGCAGTCAAGTGACCTACAAATCTAGGCTTTGATTGTTGTTTCAACTCTGGAAGCTGGGGTGAAATGCAATTTTATCACAAGTAACCACCCTTATATGCCTTCAGGTTTCAAAGACAGTGTGATGGAACCCTCTTAAACTGCTGGTTGGTGATTTTAGATCGTAGGAGTTAAGTATCTTTACCATGAATAAAACAGGGTCACCTTGCCACCTTCTATTTTATTCACTCAGTCTCCTACAATTTACTAACTGTAAATTATTGTTTTCTTCCACACAAGAACATGTTAAAATTGTATACTGTAAGTATGCAAACATAAAGTTACTTACTAGCTGTTTTGCATGTAAATCTTCCTCAAGAACTGTGTTCATTGGCAACACTGCATAGTCAGCTGTTTGTCCACTGGCAACAGCCTTTCCTCCATTGCCCTCTATAAGATGCCAGAGGTGTGTCAGCTGTTCACTGGAAAAACCAGCCACTGTGAAGTACTTTCCAGACAGTAATCCTTCTTGGAAAGCTTCTTCTTCTTCGTCATCAAGTGTAGCATCAGGATCAGCACTTAGACTACTGTGCTCTGGTAGGTGAAAAAACTTCAGTAATTACTAAATTCAAGGTCTGCACAGCAAGTTAAGGGTGATGTAGCCCAGTCAATTTAACCAAAAAGGGAAAAACTAGGAATCTTAATTAACAACTCTTCTGTGCATCTGAAGGGTAATGGGAATCACCTCTTGTACATGTAATAACTTCAAATGACTCATAAGCACCCAAAACAAAAAGAGTCAGTTTGAAATTATCTCAGTCTGCTTATTAACATGTTTTAACCCACAATATTTACAGCAAACTCATAATTCTCATGTTAACTATACTATACTGAACCTTTGAACTGTGCACTAGTGTCTCCTTGAGGAAGGTTGTGCACAGGTTCATTGCCTTTCTCTTCACTCTGAGGCAGATATTGTAAGAAAACATCATCATAATCATCATTGCCATCACACTGATCCTCCTCTGGCTTGGCCTTTGTGTCCTTATGATTTTCCTCTGATGCATTTGGCTGAAGAACAGAGACACTTTCTGCTGCTTTTGAAACGGCTTCATCAGGATCCTCGTTCTCTTTGCATGATGGTGAAAGATCTTCCCTTTGTAATAGATCTGAGAGAAGATAAGCTGCAAAGAGAAAATACAAAGGAAAAAAAGTGATTCAAATTACTATAGATAATAATTTGCATCCAGTCAAGGGTCAAGTTCACTTGTGTCTAAATTATAGACTTAAGCATTATTAACCTCTTACCAAGCATGAGGAATATTGGCCTGAGGTTGTGGCAGTATGGACAAAACACAGGGAGTTTAGTGCAGAAACAACTGAGGGCCTATATTCCTCAGCAGCTCAAGGAAGCAAGGTTAATAAGTAGTTTATTGCGGGGCACTCGCACAAAACTTTTTTGTTTTGAATTTGCTGTCTTTTGCAAACAAAAATACATGGTGAATGACCATTTCCATGGAAATGGTCAATTTTGCAAAATCCCAACCAAGCAAGAACCAATCGTTGCACTAGGATTTCCTTAGGACTTCTTTTCCATATAGTAAAGGATTTTATCACATTTGTAAGAGGAAAAGTGCCCAAGGGAGAGTTTGTTCAGTTCATCTCCATATTATTGAGGACCCAGATATTGAGAAGAATCTGTTTTATGAAGTATCATAATCATAAAATATGTTATCAATCATTCAAATGTACCAGTGACTTATGACATCATTAATAGCAAATGGTATTAAAAAATAAGTTTAAAAAAATTTAATACTGTTTGTTCATATCTTTACCCATTGAGCAATGTTATTACCCATAAGGAGTGACCAGAGATCAATTTTTACTTAAAAAATCAGTACATCTTAGGGAAGAAAGGTAATGAGAAGTGAAAAAAAAATTATTAACTACATGTACATAATATTGCCTGATTTAACAACAAATTCTCTCGTCATTCATTGTAAGAATTGTATCTATTAGTTAACACTGTGGAGAATTATTCTTTGGAAAGTGAACATGGAAAGGTGAAACACACTTACTTTCCTCTGGTAGCTTTTTCCCTTCCTTTGCAGAATCCAAAATCCATTGAACACTAACAACAAAAGCTTGAAAATCACAGTTTCTCAACAAATCAATATCTGCATTGATTCTATTTCCAACAACAACATGCGATACAATCTCATTGATCTGATTGAATCTTGTCCCTCCTCCAGAGTTGATGATCTTTCTAAGCTTCTCCAACTTATGCCCAGAAAATCCACTTAAATAAATTTTGCAACCATCCAGAAACATATTCCCAGGCTGAACTCTAACATCAAATTCAGAGCCATCTGGGTCAGAAATGTGAGTCTCTCCTATCTTGGAAACATTTTCCAAAGCCTTAGACTGATTAGATTGCATACTGTTTCTTCCGGAACTAGGGATCAAATCTTTGTTACCATGTTTCTGTGCACTCTTGTATGCTGCTTGTGCAGCTTTATTTGATACCTTCATCTCTGTGCCACTTTTAGAAGTACTGCCTTTGATTAAGCTACCTGACAATCTTGCACCTGCTTGTGAACTGTTATTTTCTTTATCAGGTTGAGTGTAATAGCTTGACTCATCCAGACACAAGCCTGTCTGAACTGAGTCATAAAACCATTGTGTACAAACACAGTGAAGATTCCACCTTCTTGCATACTCATATTTTTCACCCCTTGGGTCATCGACAAGTAAATGGGTACAAGTGTTCATATCAAGTGCTCCTGAGTACGTTCCGCCATGTTGTGTCACAAGTTTCTTTATTTCTTTTCTTTTTTCTGCATCAATACCTGTCACACAGAGAGTAATTCCCTTGAATGTTGGGCATTTGAATTCCATGAATTGTTCATCTGTGGCACACACATGTTCGTCCTGACTAAGCTCCCAGCATTTGTAAACCCACTGTGGTAATAAAATTGGTTTATTGAAACTACATGCAACCTTGTACTTCTTAGATCCCACCTCACCCGCAACCAGGTGAGTTACTGCGCTGGTGAAGTCTTTCATAACAATCCCTCCCATCAGCCGGATAAGATCGTAAAGCCTATCTCTCTCTTCCCGAGGAACACTAGTACAACTGATGGCAATGCCTCGCATGGCTACACAATAAACTGGGTACTGGACATTTGGCAGCGGAGTCTCTGTTTGTAAACACGATAATATACACGGTGGACCGACGATCCTGCAATTTCTTTCCTTCAAGTACTCGAAACTTTGTCCTTCAAAATTCTCCAAAATGTACACCGAGCGATGTATCTCCAAATCAATATTTTCCAAATTGCTCGCGGAAATCCATTCGCTGTTCAAATCGTATTCCTTACTAGCTTCCAAAGCTCGTAATAGGTTTTCCTCCATCGACTCATTAACACTTATAAACCTAAGAGTATTTTCATCATCGCTCGCCATTTTCCTCTTTCCTGATCAGCACATGAAATCGACAACCTGTGTGTGTAGGCACTTTCCTCAAACCGCCATCTTGGATTTCATCGAATTCGTATAGCTCAGCGTTTACATTACAGAATAGTTAAACCTAGTTCATTTCTCTATTATTATACTGTTTTCTGCAAGTTTGAAGCAAAATAAATCAATCGAAACTCTAAAGAACCTTTCAAAACTAAAATTTTAAAGCAAATTTTACGAAAATATCGTCAATTTCAAAGCAAAACACATTTTCTTTTGGCGGGAAAAGGTACGCATGCGCAATAAACTTGTAATGAGGTCACTCTATCCCATAACTCTTTGCTGCGGAAATGTTGTTTGCCTTGTCCTGCGTTTTAGAACTTCCGCTAGGGTTGAGATAGTGAACGTTAAAACATTGAAAGTAAAACCATTTACGTTTGAGGTTTGGATCCCTATTTTTGGCCGTTAAGGTACGTCTACTTCCGCTGTATTATGGAAATATACTGATGATATTCCGGATACCCGTTAGTGAAACTTGGAGATCAATTATTTGGACTACCAAATATGCAGAAAGTAGCTGAATATCAAGAATCACATCGGATATACAGCAAAATTTGGAAGTTGCCAAAATAGGTGAGGTCGCTTCGAAACGAAATAAAAAAAGCTGCACCCAGATAATACAATGCTTTAGAAGGAAACTATAGTGGGAATAATATTCCTAATTACTGATTTATTGCCAGTGCTGCAAGTTTAATTGACGTGTTGAAGAACGGGAGGAACAAAATTTCATAATTTCACAATTTCATAATGCGGGTATAATGAAGTTTATTTGATGTTTACAGTACACTCTTTCACAATTGCTTCCTTCGTTATGATGGATGCAAACTGTAGTCTCAAATCCCGTTTAAACTATAAACTTAAAGATCTCTTGAAGACTTGCAAATCAAGGGTTTGATATTGGAACAGGAACCTTTTGAAGATTAAAGACTTTAACTAATTGATCAACAACATTTCCCTCTTACAGGCCCTCACGAAGTCCATAACGAGAATGCACGTATATCTTAAAGATGGAAATCAAAGGCGTTGGGTTACCAATGTTCATCTTCAAGAGGGTTTTAGTCCCTGTATTGGCAATGGAGCCATGAAGAAATCGTGTGCAGATGTGTCGAGACTGGAGCCAGCAATTTGGTTCAAGGTTCTTTTACTAGAATCAGTATCTGTTGACTGTGGAAGAAGGATAGTCAGCTGGTCAACTGGAAGTCACCCTGAAGGTTAGTGGTCTTTTCTTTTTTAAGCAGGCTGTCAATAAGAGCCAGTAGCTGGCCATTTCACTAAATGTTTTGAGTTTGAGAGTTAGGAAGTTTGATTCGTTCATACATGTGTATTCTGTAGTATGTCTCACGCAATTCTAATGATCTTTAATTCCTTTCTCATAGCATATCTGTCCATGATCAGTCATCATTCAGGGCTTGAAGTAGTGAGCAACTATTAAACAATTTCCTGCCTAATAAACTGTTTGTTTGGTCACTCTGTCTTTCCCAGCCTTCTTCACCAGTCATATCAATCCACAGCTATCACTTACTATGGAAATAATAATGCTTTTTAAGACTTAGAAGTCAAAATAACCCAAAATTTGCATAAACAATTCTTTTAAAAGTCTGCATTAATCACCACCACCTTCAGTGAACGTATGACTGATTTTGAGACTAAACAAAAAAACTTATTCTATTTCTTTTTGTTTAGATGCAGACTTGCCTAGTCAAAGGACATGTTACATGGAAGGAGAGTGTTATGATTATGATGCAGACATAGACGAACTCTTCCACTTGGCTGCAAAAGTTATTTGCCCAGCTGGTCACGAAGAGGTACGTATTTGTCATGAAATATTGCAACTTCATGCAAATCCTGCTTGAAATTTTTATTGAAATGGCATTTGATGTTATCTTACTTCCAATTTTTCTATATTAACAACTGCATTGTTAAGTGGAGGTTGGGTTCCTGAGACATCCAGGTGCTTCCACTATTGGCAGCCAGCTCCTACAGTAAATGGAGACTGCTCCCATGGCTGGCAAACCCTTGTAACCCAGCCATATCATGAGCCCCCATGTAGGAAAGAGAAACAGGCACCTGTCACACTGAATAAACGGTGGAAACAGAGAGGGAAGTGGTGGGTGAAGCTGCTTGGACAATGAGCTGCCACCCCAAACAACACTGCAATTACAAAGCACATGCAAGAATGTCTCAAATGAAGAGCACAAAGAATTCTGATGAATTTGCATATGCAAAAATCTTTGACTACTTTAGAGAACACTGATGCTCTTTCTTTTTAACTCCGTTAAATTGCATTCAATTCCATTTGTTTGGCCATTATTGTTTAGGCTATAAATTGGCTATAGCAGTCTTATTCCCACCAAGCATCTTTTTTCTTCAATTTTAAAAGACACTTGAGAAGAACGGATGAAAGATCTTAACAGTAACACCTCACAAGGAAATTTTTTTCTTCAGTTCAGTTTTCTTTGCTTGTCACTCCCTTTTTTTTTTCTTTTTTTTTCAAGTTCTAAACTTAAGTTTTGGAAAAAAATTGTCTTGAAAAAGTTAACAATATTTTTGTGGTGGTTCATAGTTTTGTTTGGTTTCAAATGTTCTTTTCTAAGAGATAACAGAGATTATCATTGATAGTTTGTGGTTTCTTGTTAATCTATAGGATGGCTGGTGTGTTTTGGAGTGAGTTTGTTAATATGTTGTTTTGAGAATTATTCTGTTTATTAAGTAATTCTACCAACCCTCCTCATTGCTAGCATTTTTTTTTTAGGAAAAGACTTCTATTATTGACCTAACTGAAGTGAATTTTAATTTGCTCTCTTTTGTCTATGATTATGTTAATAAACTTACAAGAAAGGAAACAAAAGTTAACTTTGTAGTTATGTAAATTAAGTCAAAACCAAGGGATGATTTGAATTGCAAAATAAACAACTATACCTAAAGATGATTTGTACCTACTGGTGTATCAAATATTGATATACAAAATCTTGATATATTGTTTATTTTTTGAAAAATTTATATTCAAAGCTAACACACATGTTTACTTAGTAATAGTAATTCAGTATTTATCAGAATATTAATTTTTAGGTCTGTTATTGATTTTATTCCAGAATGGAGTCTCACAGCCCTCAGATGAAGATTATGAACAATGCCTTTTACGCATGCTTCACTGCTACATCCTACCTAAGATAACCTTACACAAGGATGACTTAGACAAAGTAATGAATGCCAGAGAAAAGCAGGCTCAAAGCATCCAGGAACTAGATAGGAAGGTCATTGATGAATGTAAAACCATTGATGCTTGTGAGCTACACATGGAAGATTTACGCACTCAGTTTCTACCTGACCTGGAGAAATTTATTCACCGCGGCTGGTGCTCTAAAGGGTTTCTTGAAGTACTCCTTGAGGACATTGGTAAAGAAGAACCAAGACTACGAAAACAGGTATGGTAATTGTGTGGTTTTAATTACTCAACCTTTAAATTATTTCTAACTGCTGTGATTCCAGAAGAAAGATGTTGGGAGCATGGGCCCCAAAAAAAGTAGTACCAGGTGTTGTATTTTGAATCTGAACCTCCATGTGTTTTGCAGATTGACAAGGCTCAAGATCAAGTGCAACATGCTAAAACTGTGATAGCACAGAAACCCTGTGCAGCATCTACTGAACAGCTTAAGGCAGCTAGAGAACAGAGAAATGGAGAACAAGAAAAGCTTGAAGCCCTGCTATTGACAAGAGAACTCATTGTTGCTGCTTCTCGTCAGGTATACTTTGTGAGCTCATTTTTTCTCCTAATAATTATGATGAGCTGTATACTGTAACTCTCCAATTTTGGTTTACATGTAACTTGTCATCTGATGAAGTGCAAATTACAATTATTTAATTAGGAACTCAGCTCTTAGTATTAACATAGTCAATAGTACTCTGTACCTAATAATGCTCGGAACTTAGTAATAAACACTTCTTAGACTTGAAATTATTTTGTCATAACCCTGCTTGTTTTAATGGCTCCCTGCATTCAATGAAAGCGGTATCAAGCAGATTCTATTTTAAGTGGATAGTCTTAACCAAATTCTCAGATTTTTACTCCTGCACTAGGGATAACTCTGAATACCCTTAACAGGCAAATGTACTCTTTGTTACACAAAATCATTATAAAGCAAAATAGCTTCATAAAAAACAAGAATTTTGTATCTTACCTGCTTGTAATTACAGTCCAAGAGTTCACTTTTAACTTACTTTCAACAGTAGTATTTACAAATTGCTCTTAATGTGATAACAGCAATCTAGTGATATTCTGTCTATTTAATCAAAAATTCCAAATTACATGTAAATACAGTCTAATGACTTAGTGTAGTTTTTATTGATTGAATTACCATTTAGGGAACTTTAATTTAATTACAGGCTGAAACTGGTGGAGGAGTTGTTGCTGGACATCACTTACTAAAGCAGTACTTGGAACAAAGGGAGACACTCACTAGTCTCAAACAAAGCCGCAACAGACTTCTAGAACAGAAGGTAAATGGCTTTAACAGTGGCATTGGGAAGCATTCCCTATGCACTGAGCTGTTGTGGAATTATAAAACAGTAAACAGGGTCATACAGACCACCTGTGTCCCACATATGTTTGGGACAATCCTCTAAAGTGAGATCTCATAGGTAGACAGGAAAAAAATTATGTAAAATATAGCAGTGCAAAAATCCCCTACCTTCGGTGAAATGAAAAACTCCTTATGTCAATCAAATCTTGACAGATGTTCTTTGTTAGTAGACTCACTTAAGATATAGAAAGTGATTTTCCATTGTGATGTAGTTTCCCTTTCTTAGACTGTTAGTCGACAAGGAAGAAAATTTGTCCCAGTCTTTTGATGATGAACAATCCTGATGTTTGACTTTGTTTGTTTTTCCACTTTGTTTCCAAAGAATTGTGCTTTGAGTGTAAGAGAAATGTTGGATTCTGCCATGAAAGAGCTGATTGACAAAGGCTACACTGATGCAAATGATGCAAATGCTTTAGGATCTCGAGCAACAGATGGTAAGATATGGAAGCTTTGTAGCATACTCTGCTGACAACAGGTTTAAACATGATACACCACGTTATTATGAACACTGCACTCTTACAGACATAAGTTATGTCAACATGTACATGTATGGAACCAAACCATTTGTGTAAAAGCTCTGTGAATCATCCTATGTTTACTTAATGAAAAATGTTATCCAAATATAGCAATTAACCAGAGAAAGGGGGGCTGTCACGTACAGAACTGTGTAGTACATTGATTAATTGCTCTCATTTTTTTCATGTGACATTGGTAGTCCTTGAAGGAGTTTGGAAGCCAGAATGGCAAAGACTGGGTGAAAGAATTGCTACTCTGGTGAACAATGAGGAGCATCCAGTTGGCAACCATTTCCAAAAGTTTTGCCAAAGGATCCAATCACTCTGTGAAGAGCTGCTTACCTCTGGAAGATTCAGCAGCTCTGAAGAATTTACCCCTTCATGTTCACCCTTTGGCAAGGCCTGTGCAATTCAGTATGAATCATATGGCATGGAAGATTTCATGACAGATAATCATAGGCTCAAACTCCAAATGTTACAATCTGAAATTTTGAAAGGGTTGGAAACTGCAACAGAACTCTTGTCTGACATCTTTAACAACAAGGATGTGCATTTTAAAAACAAAATAAGGCTTTGCTACGAGCAGTGTTTTTATGAGAAAGAGCACCACTTTTTGGCTTGCGTCTATGAACTGGCTCATCATGAACATGTGGACAAGCTGCAAGGGGATGTACAAAGGCTCAGATGCCTCCCAATAAAGTTTTTGAATTTGCCAATGAAAGATGAGTGGTGGTTGGAGCTATTTGAGCAACGATCACTCCAGGCAAGTACAAACTCGGGACATTATCGTCCATTTACAGAAGCATATATGAATGGCACATTATTAGACCAGGTAGACCATGGTTTGAGTGGTTCTTATGACATGATTGATGAATTAGATGACTTAGTAGACAACACTACAGACACTCAAAATGGCAGGCACATAGAAGACATGGAATCATTCAGAAGCTTGTTCATCAGTGCTATTCGTCATCGCTCAAAAACCGTGGCCGTAGATGATGTTGAAAAACCTCTTGACCAACCCAACACAGGGCCTCCCAAGTCAAGGAATTCTTTTGAGGGTGCTTTAAGTTGTAGTGCGCCCACAATGGTTCAAATCATTGATTTATGGAAGACAGCTAAGTGTGAACAAAGTTATGACAGTGTTGATGGAAGCCTGGAGATGAAGCCTTGTTTAAACAGGACACTTTCTAAAAGTGAAAGTAATCTAAGCAGAAAGGACAGCTCAGTTTCTGGAGAAACTTTTGAGGACCACTTTGGTCCTGCACTTCAAAATATCAAAGACATTTTCAAGGTCACAAGTCCTTTAAACAAACTGAAATGCCTGACATCATCCCTCCGTAAAATAACAAATGCTGTTCAAGAGCTGCGGATGCAGAGTGGACAAGATACCTTCACTGCAGCTGTAAATGCAGAGGATCTTTTGCCTCTGCTGGTCCTGATGATGCTCCAAATGGAACCTTGGGAGGTTGCTGCCATGTGGCCTCAACTGGTATTCACAGAGAACCTAATGGCACCCTTTTTGTCATCAGGATGTCATGGCTGGGCCCTGGTTGAATTTCAGATGGCCCAAAGGGTTTTAAATGATCTTTGTAATGAATTCTAAAGATTGCTTTTTGAGGGGATATGAGGAAATGAAAAAGGTCTAGATAACTTTTGATACACATTAACTTCTCCCTTTGTTTTCAAAGAAATACATGGTAGGAGAGAATTTGAAAGGAGAATGTGACATTCTATCAGAAGTCACACAAGGCTTTTTTCCATGCATCCCTACATTTTAAAGTATTTTGAATAATCAATTGTACTAACCAAGTATTTACTCCCCTTATCTGATTTCTAATTCTCCCTTCCAGTAAATATATATTTTGTTGTTAATTATTTGATGGGTAATTGCTTATTTTCATAACTTGTCTTTGAAAGTAATTACTATTAAGAGGTGAAGGTTTTTTCTACATCATTATAATAGTGAATAAATTATGACAGCAATCATTGCTTATGATTATTTATTACTAATTTTGCATCTGTTCCTAACCCTAGGATAATCATGACCATGCATCGTGATTTGTCTTTTTAATGTGACAGAGATGTCTTTTGTTTCATGGAAACAATTTAAATCAGATTCATTGGTATTTTCAATGATTGTAAACACTATTAGCTTACCTCTTGATGTTAGTGGTAATGTTATGTACATAGAAACTCCAGAGTTACAGACAGTAGGAAACATGTAATTTGAGGCATTACTAAACGTTCATGTACATGCAGAGTAATGTGACATGTATTAGGAAGTTTCTTTCTTAATACTCTCAGATCCAAACTATTTTCATAAATCCCTAAAACTTTGTGGAATGGTTATTCTTTAACCCTTTCCACCCTAACATCAGTAATGTATCCATATTCTCTGAACGCTTCTTTATTCAATTCCTTTGAGAAGGAATAGAGGAGAATTTGTTTAACAATCAAAACTTTTGTCAGGTTGGCAATCATTTATGTCATTCTCATGATTGTAATGAATGATTCAGAAGTATTACTGTAAGGAGGAATAACATGCTGGTCACTCAAAGGGATTAAAGGGTTAAGTTTCATCTTGTACTACAGGGTCTGGTATTTGTTTTTTTTTTTTCAGGAGTTATAGTGCCCTAGGTTTCTTTGATGTAATGATAGCTGTCACATTTTGTGATGGATACATCTGTATTCACTTTATGCTGAAAATATGACAATCTTTATTATTAAGTTTTCATTAGATTGGATTATCCTGGCTATATTTGTCAGCTGATACTTATGCAAGTGTCCAATTATGCCAAATTTGAACTTGCATTTTTGATATCTCAAATTAGACACTTTTGTCAACTGCATGTCAATCAGGTGTACTTACTTGAGTGGATTGATTTTTTTCTCTTCCCCTTCTTCTGATAAAGCACTAAGGAAGGAACTGATGTCATTAATAGCCCCCTTTTATGATTATCTAATGAAATTTGGTAATAACACACCCCTAGCCAAGTTTACACTATTTTTGGAAAACCTTGGCAATCTAGTTGTTTTCACATGGTTTATCTTTAGCCCACACCTTAAAAAGGAGGCCTGGGGTCGAAATTAACTTCTCTGATGTAAATTTGTAGAAGGACTATCAGAAACGGTAGCTCTTATGTGTCATTCAGTTCTGGATAACTGTCTCAGATTTCAAATCAACTTTTGAGTTGCAAATTCCAATGACTTTGATCTTGCAGGCCTGATTTTCTCCAGTTTTAATCCACCAAGTCTAATTTAGTATTGTAATTCATAATATTGATATAGAAGTTTTTGAGTTTGTATGGTGCACCATTAAAATGGCTTTATTTGGACAGCTAAGATAGGTCTTAAGAGGGCTAAGACAGCTCCACCATTGGAGACACTGATTTCAATGTTTGACCATACCTTTATTTTACGAAACAAATGGTAGAATTTACTGATTTACGAAGGAAAATATTTTATGGTGCAGTAAAATAGTTTAGATCAGTAGCAAATGATGCCTGACTTTTTAAGGTGAATATAGATTGAATACATCTCAACTCTTTTTTTAAAGTACCTACAATACATGCAATTAGAAAGAGTAATCATCACTTTTAGCACAGCACAGTGCTTCAAGTTTTATTAGGATATGTATGTTCGTAACCTAAAATTAAATTTGATAACCTTTATTGAACCATTTTAGGGTTAATGGGTTTAAGTTTCAAAGCTCCATGTGGTATGGAACAAAGTTGCCTGCATATTGGCTCAAAGGAATAGTTCTACTCTGCACACTTGTGGAATGAAATTTTTTGTTTAAGATATAAATTAAATATTGATTTATGTATGATCATCTTAAAGAGAAGGCACTTGTTTTTTGTCACTGTTATTCTTACTCCTGATGTGGAAAGCAAGTTTTTTGAAATTTGAAACCATGCACTTGTAAACAGTGCCAGTGTGAATTTACTATTCATAGCCAAGGGATGGATAGACCACTTCATTTATGTTCAAAATGTACACAGTATTCCTTTTAAGCAGCAATCTCATTGGTAAATATAATTATGTATTTATCTCCAGATCTGTTGGGGTGGCATTCCCCTGTGATTTTTATATAGGAAGAATTAATTTCATAAAACAGTATAGATCTTTATAACATATTTTTTTAATGATGAATATTTACTGCTAGGGATAATAATAATCTACATGTCAAGTAATACAATAAACGTTTATAATAAATATTTTCTCAAAGAAGTATCAGGCACTTATTTAAATGATTAAATTTAGGTGAAAGGGAAGGGTGCTTATTGGAAAGAGGGCACTTAATCAGGGGGAGGGGGTTGTTTATCAAGAGAGTGTGGCAATAGGACAAAAATTAAAAGAACAGATGTCACATAAAGAAACTGTGCAAGCACATGGAAATAGAAATAACTAGAGCAGGAAAGAAACCATTCCATTCTGATGTCACTGTAGTTCAAGCTTAAAAAGTTGTAAATAAAGTGATTGTGGCAATAGAAACAGGTTTTCCTTGTATTCCTACTATGTCAGAACGTGAGGGAGGAAGCAGGTGCTTATTGACAGAGGGGGTGTAAAAGAGAATTGTCACATATGATGAAATACAGAAGTTGATTTTGATCTTACACAGACTTCCCTCAAATTACCAGTATCTATACAAGATAAGATGAAAGTAGGAGACACCAACACAAACTTCATGACAAATAATAAAAAATTCATTTATTGTGCTCTAACAGGAATAGTTATGGTTTACAAGCAGCATTAAATCTACCTGTTCATATATAAATGTAATTCCATTTTATTAGTATAATATTATTGCTCTTTGAAATTCTAGCACTGAAAGTTACTTTAATTTCTGTTTTTGGCTGAAGGAGAAGTGATGTTTTATTCATTTATTCACCACAGCTCTGGGCATAATGAAATTCAATTTTTTTCTACATGTTTAAGATTTGCTTAAATTGACTATTTCAAAGTTCTTCTCCCCATTTAGTTGTACCAGTCGAGAAACAGCAGTGACAATGAACACATAACCAGAAAGAAAAGTATCCAAACTCTGAAGCTGGCATTATTCTTGATGGCCTGCAAATGAAAAGGGTTTCCTTACATCAAATGTACTACTAAAATTAATGTTTATGTGCAGAGCACATCTTAATTTAGCAATAGTAGGTAATAGCACCTGGAGTGGCATGGGTTTAAATCTCGTCAAATATTTTTTCCTGAAATTTCTTTAATTGCAGTTCACCTGTGAGAATTGTATCTCTGCTTACGATTTCTAATAGTCAGATGCAGGGGTTTTGAAAACTTCTTCCATAAACATCTGCCAGTGGTGTGATAGGTCACTGGCCTAAAAAAGGGGCTGTGAGATGAAACCCATGCACCTGACCCTGCTTGCAGCCTAAACAGATGGCAGAAAGAGGTCTCATAGGAGGCAGTAGACTGCCAGTAACCAGCTTTTATTGAAACCTCTTCCAATGATGATGTTACATTGTACCTCTCTTATCTGTTCATTTCCTCCCTTGACATTTTCTGTTGTTCCTGCAGCAGTCTCATGTATTCTGTCAATCTGTGCAGACTGTATAAACAGAAGATACTGATTGATGGATTCTTTTCAGTAAAACAAGTCTAAAAAGTCTTGCAAACTTAATGATCAGGTTTGGGGCCTGACTGAAATCTTTAACTATCTAGTGACATAAGTGTTTTAAATGGCTTTCTCACCTGGTGTAAAACCTTTTCAGAGAAAATTTCTTGAAGCTGAGATATTTCTACTACTTTTCCTTCAATTTGCCTATAACAAAAACATACAAATTTAATGACAGAAATAAAAAGTAGACGTTGTACAAGGAATACCCAATAGTTGAGAGAATCAAGTCTGTGAGTTTCACAGTAACCCTAAGACTGATTTAAATGAACTTTTATCACCATACCTCACTTCGTTCACCAAACTGTTCATTTCTGTAAACAACCTCTGGTTTTCCATTTCAAACTTAAACAAACAAACAAAGAGAACATTATGAAACAATTATTATTAGTTTGATGCTTTAAAAGTAATAGTTGGGAACTTTGCCTGTGGTCAGTTACTTATCAAACATGGCAACTTGTAACATTATCACATGAAATTCAGTTGTTCTTTTCATACCATCTGGACTTCCTCTGCTGTCAATTCTTCATCCTCCCCTGGAGGAGGAGGAGGAGCCAAATCTAGAGGTTGTGTTGGACTTCTGGATTCTGCTGGAAGCACAGAAAAACAAATCCCGATGTAAAATTACTGATTATCTTAGATTCACTAGAAGAACATTTCCAGTGTAAAACAATTATTTTTATTAATATAATTTATGCTAAATTAATGGATCCCTTCTGCCATTTAGGAGAGCTGCTCTTTTCTGATAACTGAACAGTGAGATGTTTGTCACCCAACTTCACAGGGTTTGTACCCTTTTTCAGAATTTCAAGGACTTTTCCCGGACTCAGACCAATTTTTCCAGGGTCTGTCTGAAACTGTCTTTCAGTACACCATGTGCAGTCATTCATAAGAACCACATCCTCCACTGATAAAAAGCTTTACTGATAATAATCATGTATAAAAAGTTTCTCATTAGATGACACTTCATTCATATCACAAAAATACTCCAATTCCATCCCTCAATTCTACTGACAATTGTACATATGCATTTTTTCAATAGATAAATTCATCCCTATTTCTTAATTTTTATTTCAATATTTACAAACTGCAGCTGAAATAGTAATGAACTAGAGAAAAGTGACATTTATTAAGAGGCATGCATACTGTAGTTATTCACTGAAATTAAATTTTTCCCATAACCAACCTTTTGAAACATCATCTTTGACTTCTGAAGCAGATGATTTAGAATCAAGCTGTCCATTTGACTCTTGTTTCAATCTTTTTTGTTCAGGTTGCAGTCTGGATCTTATTTTGAATAAAAAGAAATCAAAGAAAATTGATAATGACATGAAGTTCAAATTTGTTTGTAGTCAAAAGTGGTGTATATCTGGTTTTAATTCTCAAACTACAAATTAAAAGCAAAAATCTGAAAAGCGCATATTCATCATACAGCACATGCAATTAACAGTTATTCATCAAAGTGGAAGTGAATAACTATTTTAGAATATAACAAACAGAAACCAAAAAATTAATTTATTTCTGTCCATATACCAAATGAAAGTCTGAAATTAAATTGTTGATCCTCAATTTTGTGTCTTCTGCTGCTTGTAGGTGAATAATACTAACTTGCTAATCACTTTTGAACCAGCCAATCACCATGCACAAAAAGCATTATCCACAAGTGTGGCATATACACTAATTATAATTAAATAAATTAATTAAATCAAGTTGTTACATGTACCTTGTAATTCTTCAACCTACACATTACTAGACTTATAAATATGGATTAATTTGAAACAAATTCTTTTTATCTCTAAGTTATCATTACTGAGGCTCTGAAGTGCCCATTTTTCTAAGGACTCTACAAGTCAGAGTATGGTTATTGGTCTTACATTCGTTTCTTTTCCACTACTCTCCTGACACGGATAGCTCTTTGTTCACTGTACAACTTGCAAACCACTAACAGAAGAAGTTAGAGAGTTTTTACCACATGTGACAGACAACTCCCCTCAAAAATAACACCACATTAAAAGAGTAACTACAGTAAAAAAGTCCTAAAGAATGGACCTACAGAAATGTATCCCAAATGGACAAGCCCCAGATATAATAACATTCTGGATTTGGCAAATGGTGCCAGAAAAATCATGGATCATACCCTTTTCAATCTCAAAGTATTTTTTTCCTTTCAAAGTTTCCAAACTCTGGGAGTTTTTCTGATAATTGGTCCCAAGGAGGCAAGCAAGAGTGACTTAGAGTTATCTTTGTGAGTGACAAATGGCTTTATTTGATTGCTGTTATTTGAAAGTATCGCAATGAAGAAACTGATTCACAAAAGTGAGTATTGCAACTCTAACCCAACAATTTAGTGAGATCAATTGTTGTATCTAGGTAAGATCTAGGTAAAGCAACAGTATTACCGGTAGCTAGGATATGCATGACTTGGATCATTTGGTCTCACTTGAATTTTCAAACAAGAGGCTTGTTGTCTTCCAAAGTCTCTAATTTTAGTGTTCACTACCCCTCAAATTGAGTGCTATTATAGAAAAATCTAATTGCAAGTATGAACCATAATACTTTAGGGGAACAGCCTCAATTAAAACTCACTTCACCAGTTCTTTTTTTCTGCAGAACTAATACTTGAATAGTGTCTTCCACTTTCAACAGAAATTAATTGAATTAGTGGATAATCCTACACTGTGTTGGTATTGATCATTTATAATCATATAGCATATAGTGCACCTTTTAAATACTGTCCTAGCATTTCCAGTACAACTTCCCTGTGAGTCATAACTTGTTCACTTCTTTTCTGCTGCAATGCTGTAAAGAGTATTTGAGAAGAATTGTCCAGGTAAAAAATTGTAATCTAGTTTGCTTTGCAATATTTCAAAATTTCAAGGACTAAGGTTCAATCTGATTAATTTCTCATCATCATCTTTTTTGTAAACACTTGTTAAATTTACAAAATTATTTTGCATTACATAGCTAAGCACCTGGCCAATTTGAAATTTGAGACTTACATTGCTTGAATGTGTAGTACAGAATATGACAGAGAGGATTTAGACAAGGAACACTGTAAATATATTTAATGGTGATTTGTATGCACATAGCAGTTTAATATTAATTTCAGGTCAAAATAAATCTAAACCAATTTAATTTGTAGTTATTTCGTTCCAGGTACAATTGCTAGAGAATTAGAGCAAGGTAACTTACAAAAGAATCAAACTTAAGTGTGATATCATTTTAACCCTACATCATTTTTAATGAAACAAAGTCATCTCTGACAAATATATCTAGTGTAAATTGTACAGTGAATGTTAGTGCTAATTACACGTCCTGAAATGTTGATAATAATGACACTGTTTTTACATACTTTCAGTTTGATGTTTGCCACGGTTACACTAAGCTGTATCAATACCTTCATTTTTGAGGGTTTGTATAGCAACTGAGCATGTTCTCATGTAAGTTTCAGCATCTGTGTCTATTTGGTCTCGCTCTTCATCTGTCATACTAGACAACTCTAAACTCAGGTGACTGTACCAATAAAAATAAAAGTATTTGATTGACTTAGAACTTGCATTACTCTATAAATCTCCTGCAAAATTACTACTGAGTAAATCAAGAAAATCAATATAATTATATTTAATATCAACCCCAAGATTTGGCTTTTATGATTAACATATTATAAATCATCAAATTTCTACTGTCCCCCAAATAAGCACCCACTTTGAATAAGCAACCCTCAAATGTGCATAACTTCTTTTAAAACCCAAATACTGCCCTTCTTGAAATAAAATGCTTCCCCTCAATGCGGTGACCACCATGAATAAGCAATCACTTATCAACTTAGACAAATATAATGATCATGAAATAATTCACCAACTGTTACTAATTGCAGTTTGAGTGGGAACTCTGTTTACCTGAATGGACTGACATAATCCTTTTGGTGTTTTAGTAGGAAATCTCTCAGCTTACTAATATTGACAAGCTGTTGTGGAAGAAAGCAGCCCCAATTAAAATAAACACTTATCAATCATATCATTTTGCTGAATAAAAACTAAAAAAACTTAATAAAAGCAGGGTAAGCAAGATCTGATGTGAACAAGTTTTTTCAAGTCTTGGGCATCACTTTTTGAGTAATATAGAATATCAAATTAAGCAGTGTGTGATATTGTGAATTTTCAAAACTAATGTCTGAGTTATCTGCCACTGAGCCAAAGCTCAGGCAAATAACACAGACACAAGGTTTGATAATTCAAGATATCATGCAAAAACTTATACCATGCACAATAAACTTATTGCTTTATTATACATTTTTTAAAAGCATTTGGCCATTTTGAGTTAATCTGACTCTGAGAACAGCAAGGGTTTGAGAACACTTTGAAGGACTTTGAAACTATGTTAACTTTGAACTCATTATGATAAATGCAATATGCATTTGTCATGTCATCTTCTCACACTATTGTATATTGATTGAATATTCTTGACAATCAGATTTTTTATAGTACATGTAATATATAATAAAACCAGTTAGACAACTGACAGGTGAAGATAATTATCACAATGAACCAACATCAAGTTACAAGATTTCCGAACAGCCCCATGCTACTGTAAAACAAAGCTGTAGTCTTACAAGGCAAACTATTGTTTTCTTTCGCCATTGTTTATCCATGCAAGAACTGTATACAAAATCAAGTATTGGGGGTGTGCGGAAATCTTCCCACGAAAGTCTGTACAATATGTTGTCTGTCAAAATAATTAAGTCGTGAATATGAAAGCACACCTTACTGAACCTTGCTCATTAGAATCTGTTTCATGCTGAAAATGGTACATATTAAAGAGAACAGTTACACAGATGGGTTGTACTCTTACCACTTCTTTCGCTTTCGTTCCAAATTCACCCTTGTGTCTTTTCGAGCCCAAAATGCCCTTTGTTGCCTCTTTGACACCAAGGGCTTTATTTCTGGTCCGTATAGTTTTCACAGTGGCTTTGAAAAGGGCCGTTCTGTCCATAATTCCAAAACTTTCCACTACGATCAACAGAAATCTCCAAATTAGAAAATCGACAAGGCGTCTACTTAGTGGCCTCGCCTTTGTTCCTTCAGAGCCTTGCACCACCCGGGTGGTGCTGGGATATTGCTCTCAAAACAAACATGGCGGAAAGAGTACGACCCTTCGCTACAGCATTCTTCGTCGTGTCCTTTCTTGTAAGTAAAACCATTGGTGAAGATGAAGGCGAGAAGTATAACCCGAATGGTCCGCTTGTGAACTGCAGTTACTTGTAAGTCACTTTGTCGATTGAACACTAAGTTACCTGAAGGTGAACTTCCGCTTGTAAACTAGCTTGCATGTAGCTACACATATTTCCTTTTCATTCTTATAATGGTCTGGGCCGGTTGTTCGAAGCTGGGTTAAGATAAACCTGGGTAAAATTTCCGCACAGCCCCATACTACATTATGCATTCAGTTCTTGGATAGAGAAAACAATGACAGAAACAATACATTGCCATTAGGAAAACAGATTTGTTTTACAATAGTATGGGGCTGTGCGGAAATTTTACCTAAACTTGGGCTAGCAGGAAATTTGGTCAGAGATCTGAAAACTTTGAAAGAAAATTCGCCTGGAATAAAGTAAATTCGCCAGGTCTCTCTGGTGATAGCATTTGATCAAATTATACCGGCTGTTTAATCATCCATGTGGTTATCGTTGCAAGAAGGATTATCTGTAAGATGCAAAATGATATTTTGGTATTGTTTAGTATTGTTTAGTTGTACAGTCACCGTTATGCAACTTGATATATTCACGAGGAGCGTTTTGACCAAGGAGGACTATCACAGAACATTTTGTACTTGGAACATTGTGTTGGTAGGCTGTGTGGCTGACACTTTAGCGTCAACTCAGCAAGTGGAAGTCAGAGTGATGCTGTTCTGTGCATTTGAAGTGACAGTGTTTTTGTAGTTGAAATGAATGTATCATTGAGATGAGGGTGTGATTTTCTATGGTGAACTAGATTGTTTTGCTTATTTATGTTATAGTATGAGTACAATGCTATTGTTATCAGTGATAAATTAATACATAATACTTTTCCTTCCAGACCTATAGACTTTCTTGAATGTGATCCACCACATGATTTTACATCAAATAAAACTGCACAAGAGGAGTCAGGCTATGGATGTTCTAAAGTAAGTGCACATGTTGTGTTTAAAACATTTTTCCTCCATTTAATATGACTTAATTTTATTTTATGATCACAATGAATATGATGACCCATTCAATTGAAATTGAAGAAAATTTGAACTGCTAAAGATACAAGCAAAGCTAATAGTAGTTAGTTCCTGTGAAGTCAGACATTCATTTCTCCATAGCACACCCTCAACCATTAAAAAATCAGAACCCTGTGAAAAGGTTTTCCACTATTTGTAAGATTAATCAGCTCCTAAGTTCTCCTTGCAAAATCCACCCCTGAATGAAACTTCAAAGGGGCAAGGTCACTCTGTGAACTTGAGCACTGAGTTCTTCTAGTTTGACACTTAGGAAAATTTAACGCAATGTTCCATAAAATTGATGGACTTTTTACCTTGCTTAAGGGGAAAATGAGGCAGATGGGAAAAAAATTATTTGTAGGAACTCACAGCCAAATTGAATGTATTCTTGAATTAGTAGAGATTTGCAAAGGAAAAATGCTTTCTTCTCAGCATAATTTGTTCTTAAAATATGTTCTTCTGACTCCTTTTGCTTCATGTGAGAAAAACCTGCTCAATCAGACATCTGAAATTCTCCTTCATTCATTCATGCCTCTATAAATAGATGAACATTTAGATACATAAAAACTGTTCAATCAATGTAACAGTAAAATGTTCGCCACTAGTTTCTACACTCTGTATGTGCAAAGCATGAGTCGTGACCTACCCCTTTAAGGTCATGAGAATGAAGGAAGTGAATGTCAACAAAAGAAGCTCTTTTTGTTAAACAAATTCTCCTCGTCAGTATGAGAGAGAAGTATGAAGAAAATACACATAGGTTTTGGGTGTAGACATTAATTCTTGTGAGCTCAGTGGCTCTTTATTACTGGATCATATCCCAATTTTTGTGATATAGAGCCTCAAATAGTTTGCCTTCTCCTCCTGGATAGGAGACTAGTCTAGTACAAGTGACCTCAGGGATTTTGTTAAGAATCTGGGACTATATGTTGTTAACCATTTTAACTTGGGTGCAGAGAGGGGCCCAGTGTAGGGTTCATTAAAGAGAATAATTAAAACAGCAGACTGACTAGCGAGGGCTTGGACAGTGGCCTTCCCTTTCTGGAGTTAAGTATATCGACTGATAGGCCATTGCATCTTCCTTCACAAAAAAGGATGAAATTATTTTAATAAACCATTTCCCCAGTGAAACCCTTCAGGACCAAGAAGACAGAGAATGAAACAAAATATTTATGTTTGTTGTAATCAAAACATAGGTTAAGTAACCTCTTTACATAGAAAACCCTTGGAGATAAATAAAGCTCAATAACAAATCTAATGAGTAGCAGGGTGGAAGGCTGAAACCTTGAACCACTCAGGGAAGAGTTTAGCACCTTAACCCTTCAACCTTTAAGAGTGACTAACATCTAATTTCTCATTTCAACATTACCCCTGAATCAAACATTAAGGTCACAGGATAAAGCAAATAATCACCAACTACTGAAGCTCTGGATTGTTAACCAAATTCTCCTTATCAGCAGCTCAGGAAATGTTTAGAAAACAGTATTTTTTAATACATGTAATGTGTACTAATAAAAGTAAATACACATTTCAAGCGCTTGTGTAACATTTTGCTTTGTGATAATTTATTTATAGTTTGGCGGTTCAAGGTATGAAGACGTTCAACACACACGGGTATGGTGTGAAGTTTTATCTGGAATTGAGTGCTTTGGAGAAAGAAAATTTCTCAGCTTAGAAAAATTTCCCTGTATCAAGTAAGTTAATTTTGAGTTATTATCAAGATGGAACAACTTTCAGGGGTGTTACTGAGTTTTCTACAACTTACGTGTAGATCGTGATCATTTATTGTTTAGCGTCCTGAAATTGCTAGTAAGAGTTACATATCCATTGTTTCTTATGGACTGTTTCTCCTCTAAGCCAGGCTTTTTTTCTTCAAATATGTCTTTTTTCAGTCACTTCTTTATTTACTCATTCATTCAGTCATTGAGAACCACTCATATTCGAGCATATTTTATCGATACAATTACAAACATAACTAGCAAAAGACAAAGCAAATAGGGCGCCAGATATTAACACGTAACAAATAGATCACTGAAGACAGAGTCCGAGATATTACACGTAACAAAAAAAACACAAGACAAGCAGCACGCGAGATCCTGCAAGTAACAAATAGAAACCAGCACAGAGATTTAAAGCGCGTAGGATTTAAAACCTAAAAGTTTGGTTCCAAAACAAACAGTGCGTGAGATACTTCTCGTAACAAATGAAAC